CATCTAGCATGCCTGGGGAGAGAGGGCTGTGCGGCCTGTTGTTTCCCCCAGGACCTAGAAAAGCTCTTGACATTGCAAAGTATCCCTTCCTGTCCCTATTGGCAACTTCTGAACCCATGCAAATGGGCAGTGCTCAGGGTGCCTGCTCTTTCTTTGTCTGGTACACTGTTTCCTATCTAGGGCGAGGTCATTGGGAGGCTGAGAGAAAAAGCATCAGGGCTCCTGCAATTATCTGAGCAAGCAAAAAACAGCCCTTAATTGTAAGACCCTGCCAAGTGCACATTCATTAACTGGATCTCCTGAGCAGACAGGGTAACTCTCCTGATGGCTTTGAGAAAGCGTCCGTCTCTTCCCGAGCTTCACTGTAACCTACGTAAGCAATGATGCACAGCTGAAGATATTAACTGGCTCCATGCTCGCTGGAGCCTTTTGCATAAACAGATACCCACCCAGCGCTGAGCAAGCACGTGACATTCACGTAGATGTGCTGGGCAAAGGTTTGCAGCCCCGACAGCACTGTGAGAAATATTTAAGTTGGGCCGATGTGTTATATAAACACGCTAAGCTCATGCTCAGGCTGCTTTCCTTTGAGCCCGGCTGTGCCAAGGCAGAAGGGGGGCACTGGACCATTTTTGGAATAAGCTTGTCTTCAGTCGTACTTCAGACATGAAGTATGAGGAATGTAGTTGACAATGAATCTGAAAGTCCTCCCACCCACCGGGATTTGAACTCTAGTGTCCTCAAGTTCAGTCAACTAGTCTGCTTGCTCAGCTAGCATTCTGCCACTTGAATCATGACTCTAGTTTGATTCTTTTTGCTGGTTATTTTGCAGTCATAAGGACTTTTAAATCCCCTGAATAGCTAGGATTACACTGATGTTCATCTTGGAAGTCAGTATTTTGAAAGCATCTCAGAGGTTAAAACACAAAGTCAGTGTGGAAAAGCTAGGAGGCCTAAGCCCTGAGTGTGACTTTATAAAAGTGGGCCAGCATGGAGCTGTTTGTAGCGTCATCATCTTCCTGAGTTCACAGAGCCTAGTGTGATGCTCTGCCTGACACTGGGAAAGGAGACACTGAGCTCCAAACACCCCAACCGTCCTTTGCTGTCAATGAAATGTCCTAAAGAGGTGAGCTGTGCTTTCTGAGGTCACATAAGAAATTAAACCTGGGAGCTGGCGCTGGTGGCTCACGCCTGTAATCCTAGCTATTCAGGAGGCTAAGGATCACGGTTTAAAGCTAGCCTGGGCAGGAAGGTCATGAGACTTTTACCTCCAATTAACTACTTGAAAACCAGAAGTGGTGCTGTGGCTCAAGTGGTAGAGTGCTTGCCTTGAGCTGAAGAGTTCAAGGACAGCGCCCAGGCCCAGAGTTCAAGCCCCATGACCAACAACAAAATAAAACAATTTGCCAGTTGCTACCAGCTCATGCCTATAATCTTAGCTACTCAGAAGACTGAGCTATGAGGATTGTGATTCAAAGCCAGTCTGTGAGACTCTCCTCTCCAATTAACCACCTAGATAGACAACAGAAGCAGAGTTGTGGCTCAACTGGCAGAGCTAGCCTATATAGAAAAAGCTCAGGGACAGTGCCCAGACCCTGAATTTGTCTCAGGACCTGTATTGAACTTTTTTTTATCATGATGGGCACCTGTGTGTGTGTGTGTGTGTGTGTGTGTGTGTGTGTGACATCTGCAATCCTAACCACTCAGGAGGCTGAGATCTGAGGATCACAGTTTGAAGCCATCTTTGGCAGAAAAGTCCCCATGAGACTTTTATCTCCAATTAACTACTCAAAAACTGGAAGTGGAGCTGTGGCTTAAAGTAGTACAGTGCTAGCCTTGAGAAAAAAGTGTAAGGACAGCACCCAGGCCCTGAGTTCAAGCCCCATGATGGACAAACAAATCTTATTTTTCTTACCTTTAAATTGTACAAACGCACGTGCAGCTGATGATGGCGGACCAGGCCTGTCTGTGCACACTGTCTTACTCTTAGGAAATTCATGAATCTGGGGGCTGGGAAGTTGGCTCAGTGGTACAGCGCTTGCCTTGCGCATGCATGAGGCCCTGGGTTCAATTCCTCAGCACCACATAAGCAGAAAAAAGCTGGAAGTGGCGCTGTGGCAAGTGGTAGGGCACTAGCCTTGAGCTGCAGAGCTGAGGGACAGCACCCAGGCCCAGAATCCAGGCCCCATGACTGACAAAAAAAGAGAAATTCATGAGTTCCAGCAGGATTTTTTGCCTCATTCTTGGTAACTTCATGGTTGAAGGCGGATCAGAGGTGAATAACCAACAGCTAGACCTGAGAGTTTGACCTGTGGTCAGTGCGTGACGTACCACACTGGTAGCTTGTAGGCTCGATGTCCTGCCTGTGACTTTGAAGGCTTTTGTGATTTATGTCTCTCAATAGTTTCTTCGCTTCCCTTGGCAGGCATACACGCCAATCACAAGTCTCAGGCACACCCAAGAGCCCTAGAATTCAATCTAACTCTGACAGTATTAGTAGTTAACATACAAGCCAGCCTGGAGCAGGCGGACACAGGCCCAAGGAGTGGACAAATGAATATTCACTCAGAAAGCATTTATTGATCAATCACTGCTTTCCAGCCAACTATTTGGTGGGTTGGGGTTACAGTGAAGAATATCTCTTCCCCTCCCCAACCCCTGCCCTCCCCAAATGATCCCTTTAGCCAGGGAATGTGTATACTGATTTCCTGCTCCTCATTCTTTCTTCTGACCCAAACAGGTTTGTAGGATGAATGAACTTAGTAGTGACTTAAAAATACTATGCAACAATGCTAAGTTCGTCTAGCATGAAATCCATACAGTAAAACCTGTAATTTTTCAGAAGACTTAGCTAGCTGTCACCAAACCTATAGTTCTCAAAACTTGGCTGGAAGCTGAAGACCTGTATGAGCTGGGGATGGGGCTGGCCCACAGCTGAGGTCACTGTTGCTAGGCAACACAGGGAAGCCCCACCCCCAGGCAGGGCAGGGTGGGAGGGAAGGATGCTAACAGGAGGGGACCGACACAGAACTCGTGTCCAGAGCTGCATCCAAGGGGCTTGTGGCAGAATTGCCACCCCTGTGCTGCCAAGAATCTTGCTTCTTGATTCCACACAGCCCAGGTGCCCAGGGACCTCAGGGCCAGCCTGAGGCAGATATCAAGGCAGGTGCAGCCCAAAGAAGGTATTGCTGCCCGAACCAGGTTTAGCCTCCAGTTTCCTCTGCTTCTTTTTGTGTGCCAAGACCCTGTGAACAGACAGACTGGAAGAGCTGTGTACCCTTTCTAGGAATGGATAATATCTATTTGGAGCGAGCCAGTAACTGTGAAATGTGATGACTCATATTGGTAAGGCAACTGGATTTGCAAACAGCAATACACATACAACACACACACGTGCATGTGCACACCCACACCTGTTACCCACAAGGCAAGGAAAGTGGTAGGTATAACTACCCTGATTAAGGTGGGAATGACTGAATATGTGCTGGATCTTATGCACTATTAAAACACCAGCGATTTCTTTCTTCCTTCTTTGGCAGAACGGAGGTTTGAGCTCAGGGCCTCGCGTGAGCAAGGCGGGTGCTCTACCCCCTGAGGTGCACCTCCAGACCTTTTGGGCTTTAGTTATTGCTTCACGTAGGGTCTCATGTTTCTTTGCAGAGGCTGGCTGACCTCAGGCTTTGGATCATGATCCTATTACTGATGCCTCTCCAATAGCTAAGATTACAGGAGTACACTACTGAACCTGGATGAAAAATTAGTGATTTCCATTGGTGACAAAGACATAGGTAATTGCTTATACAACTGTGGTCAGCTGCTGACTTCATGGTAGAAGGAAATGCTGTATTATAGTTAGAGATTGGTGAAAATTGTGTTGTTGTTTTTTTTTTTTAAAGACCACTCAAGTCCACAGACCTGACTGCTGGCCCATCTTTTCTTGCTGAAGTGGCTGTTAGTCTTTCGGAGGTCTGTGTGTGCCGTACTGGAAATGAAGGCACAGTGCAAAGCACTTTTTACTAATCAACTAATCTTTTAGATGCTCAACCTTTTCAGAGCATCTGGGTTAAATGGTTTATAATGAATGTTATTCATATACACACAGTTTCGATTCCCTTGTGCATACAAATGCGCAAGGGCAATACATAAATATGTATATTTAGAGTCTTTTCTGAGCTAAGCAAGGTAAGTTTAATATGTCTCATTTGAGGGCAGATGTACATTATAAAAATTAAATTCTGGTTAGTATCAGACTGGAGGGAGGTAGGACTCTTTAAACATGTGTTGGGAAGCATTCTTCTTTACTGCTTTAATGGAATCAGCAAAGTCTAGTTAAAACAAAATAGCCCTGGCAACAGAGGAGTAAAGAATATTCACCAGTGCTGTGTGTGGTGGTGCAAGGTTGTAATCCCAGCACACAAGAGGGTTGAGGTGGGAGGATCAAGAGTTAGAGTCAGCCTGGGCTACAGAGGAAGACCTCGTCTTCAGGGCTAGAGTTAGGACTTGGCACTTGCTGGGCTGGTGCTCTACTGCTGAGCCATGCCTCCAGCCCTCTTGGGAAGATTTCTAACTTAAACCTACCAGGTCAAAGGTTACTTCTTACAACACAGCCTCAGGGGAAATGCCCAGGCCTTACCACACTAAAAATCAAGGATGTTCAAGTCCATATATAAAGTGATGTAGTCCCTGCTGCTGTAGCTCATATTCCAAAATTCAGGGTTACATAAAAATTAATGAAGGGTTCAATGTTAAAAAGTGGTTAGCTGTGCATTGGTGGCCTGTAACCCTAGCTACTCAGGAGGCTGAGATCTGAGGACTGCAGCTCCAAATCAGCATGGGCAGGAAAGTCTGTGAAACTCATCTCCAGTTTACTACCAGAAAGCTGCAAGAGGAGCTGTGGCTCAAACGGTAGAGTGCTAGCCTTGAGTGAAAAAGTCAATGAATGGTGCTCGACACTGAGTTCAAGACTCAGTACTGGAACAATAAGCAACAACAACAAAAAGTGGCATAGTATTTGCATATAATCTTCTCATCCCTAGATGACTTAGAATAGTTAATACAATGTAAATGCTAAATAGTCGTTCTACTGCATTTTTTTTGGTAACTAAGAACAAAGGTCTGTACATGTTCTATGTTCTACATAGCGACGCAGCTGTTTTCCCTGAATAGTTTCAACAGGAGGCGAGCGGGGCCCATGGCTGAGAAACCCGGGAACACAGAACATGGCCATCCTTCCTCCTGCTCAGGACCCATCAAGTCACCAGGAGCTGAGGCTTGCTGGTCAGGCCTTCCTTCCCTGTGGCGGGGAGCAGACAGCTCCGGCACGTGCGTGTCCCCTCCGGCAGGGCAGTGGATGAGAGACCACAGACTAACAGGCCTGGCGAGACCCCATGGGGGACAAGTCCAGAGTCCGAGCCACTGCAGTGAAGGTCATCCCAAGGTGAATGCAGAAGATGTGCACAAAGAGGGGCCATGAGGCGTTGCCCGGTGAAACCACGAAGAGACGCAGTCCCAGGTCTGAGGCCTTCCCAATACTGGTTTCAAAAGTATTTGCACCTTAAACATCTTTAGAAATAGAAAAGGAAACTTAAGGTGACAGAGGAAGGGAATAAACACAGAGATAGTAGAAGGCAACAGCTTAAAACCTCCATTCACACTGGCATTCTGGGTACTGCAGTCACTGTGAATGTACCTCAGCAGCAGATGGGCTATTTTGTGCGTGGAGTGCTGGTGCTGGGGATTGAACTCAAGGCTTTGAACTCTTGCTTGCCCCCCCCTTTTTTTTTGCTCAAGGTTGGCACTCTACTATCTGAGCCATACTTCTCACCTCTAGCTTTTTGGTGGTATTAGAGCTGAGGATCTCTCAGGTGTTTCTGCCCTGAGGTGGCTAAGAATCTAGACTTTCAGATCTCACCCTCCCGAGTAGCTAGGACTACAAGCTTGAGCCACTGAGTGGAACCATGGTTTGCTTCTACCCTTTTGGGGCACTGTTGGCTCATGCGTCTAATACTAGCTACTCAGGAGGTCGAGATCTGAGGATCATGGTTCAAAGCCAGCCTAAGCCAGAAAGTTCATGATACCCTTACCTCTAATTAACCACCACAAAGCAGGAAATGACGCTGTGGCTCAAACTGGTAGAGCGAAAACTAGCTCAGGGACAGTGCTTGGCCTTGAATTCAAGCCCCAGGTCTGGCAGGCACACACACAAATATTTATACGAGTTACCTGTATATTTGGAGTGGTGTGTTGACATGTGAAGTCCACGGAAAAAGAGGGACACAATGGCCATGTGAAATTATCCTTACGATAGGCAGCATTTGAATGGGGGGCTCTTTAGTTACTCAAGAGTTTTGGGCAGAGCAGACAGGGCATAAAGGCACATTGTGGGGTGAGCAGAGTCCTGGAAGGGGGCAGCGGGGGAGGGCACAGGAAGGGCCCTGTGGGATGTGCCGTGGGACTTTTAGGATATTTATAGCGACTATTTTACTTACATTGCTTTTGAGGACAATCACTTGTTGTTTGTTCCTGAATCCTTGATTTTGTTTTAATGATTACATAATTTCATATTATTACAGGAAAACATGGAAGGAAAGAAGGGTCAGTACTTCCAAGAGTAGAGAGCAGGCCACAGAACATTCTCTACTATGAATTAGGGGTTGAAGAAAAGGACAAACATTTGCCAAACACCTGACCTTTAAGAGCTACTTTTGTTACCCCCTAAGGGCTTTCGAAAAAATTTCATGCCCACTGAGATACATTCTCTGGTGGAAAAACACGTACACAAACCCATTTGTTTTAGGTACATGATGTAAAACTCAAAGTAGTTCTGAATAGACAGTGTATTTTGTTCAAAGAGACCTCCAACTCTAGGGCAGTCAGATCTCACAGTGACCCAGATCTTTCTCTTTCTTTTTGGTACTGGTACTGGGACTTGAACTCAAGGCCTGGGTGCTGTTCCTTAGTTTCTTGCTCAAGGATGGTGCTCTAACATTTGAGCACAGCTCCACTCCCAGGTTTTTGCTGGTTAATTGGAGATAAAGAGTCTCATGGACTTTCCTGCCTGGGCTGGCTTTGAATTGCAATCCTCCGATCTCAGCCTTCTGAGTAGCTAGGATTTGAGGCATGAGCCACTGGTGCCCGGCCAGATATTTCTGTGTGTGTGTGTGTTTCCATGAAACTGGTATCAGGTAAAAACCTCACTAGCTTCCAGGGAGCACCTGGACCTGAAAACTTGTGAGTTGTTTTCCTAGACGTATATTTATTTCATTTCAAAGTTAGAATAAACAGTGCAGCTCAGTGGTAGAGCACTTGCCCAGTGCGTGTGCCAAGGCCCCAAGTTCCACCCCCAGCACTTAAACAAAATAAAAAGAAGATGAAATAGGCAAGTCTGCAGTGGAAAATGTTACCTTCAAGTTCACACTCTGTAATCCCTTAGTCCTCAGAAACTAAACATTGTAAAGTATAAGCAGCAAGAAATAATGTAAACTGCAGAAACAGAAAATAAATTAGTTTCCTTCAGACGTGGTGGAGGTCCTTTTGGTGAATACTACACTCGGCTAGAAACAGAATCTGTCTTGAATGAAGAAGACATCTTTGGCCTCTTTCCCCATTTCTCCAGTGAATTGCAGGTTCACTCTCTTCTCCAACGGCAGCAAGAAGGCAAGGAGCCATTTGTGTCTGGGTAGACTGAAAAATAGAAAAAAACAAAAAAGGTTCAGAAGTTTAAGAGCAGCTTTTCCAAAAGAAGAAAACTCAAGACGTGACTCCATTCCCAAGACTCAGCTAGGTCTCTAAGGGGCTCTGTAAGCACTAGTCCGCATGGTCCCCGAAGACAGCACCCCAACTTCTGAGCAGGGTCCAGGATCACGGTGACTTCCCTGGTATGCCTCATACTCTTACTCAACATTTTCCACTCACCGCTGGTGCTCTTCCACTTGAGCCACACCTCCTGGTATGCCTGCAACACTGCAGTTAGCAGCTTGGGTGGACCAATCTATAAATCTATGAGACTCTTATCACCAATGAGCCAGCAAAATGCTGGATGGGAGGTGTGGCTTAAGTGAAAGAGCACCAGCAGTGAGTGGAAAATGCTGAGTAAGAATATGAGGCCCCGAGTTCAAGTCGTGAGGAAAATGTAAAAAAAATCCCAAAAGATAGAAATGCAAGCACGTGACTTTCATCTGTGTTTACATATGGAAGGATTTATCAGTGAGCCAAGAGAATTCGCTTGGCTGGACTCAGGGGGAGTGGGTCTCCCACAGGTAATGGAGGGGTGTGGAGGTGGGGGGGGCAGAGATGCTTGGTCAGTCTAAAAGTAGAAGACGGGGCTGGGAAGCAGGGGTGAGAAACCGCATTATCCCAACAGCAGATTCCAAACCAGGGGAGGAAACAGCAAGTTGGACTGCTGCAAGTATAGCGCAGATGATCAGAATGAAATGCTCTGCATGTCAGGGAGGGAGTTTGCTTGGTATAGCTCTTATCCCTCCACTTGGACACATGGCCAAAAAGTTCCAGGAGAAAAGGGCAGAGGACAGTGACTCTGTGGGCTAGAAAATGCCTTTAGCTTAGCCAGACACTCCCCCTCCCACCTGCCCCCTCCCATCTTCCCATGCTGCTGGGAAATGAAAGACCTGCTGGCTAGTCACACAGCCTTTGTGTCCTATGGTTTTGTGTTACAAGGAGATTTAGAGTCTGTATATTCTCCTCCTCCTCCTCCTCCCCCCCCTTCCTTCCTCCTTCCTTCCTTTCCCTTACTATGTAGTCTGGGCTGGTCTTGAACCAGAGCTCTCCTAGCGTCTGCCTTCTGAGTGCTGGGATATGCCAGCACACCTGGCTGTGGCGTGACACCTGAAGGAAACTTGAAGGCAAAGTCTGACTATGGCAGAAAAGCACACAGAGGTCAAATAGCTAAGGTGAGACTGTAACAATGAGTGCTTATTCAGTAGGAAAAAAAAGTTCTGGAAATATTCAGTGGGAAAGTACATTCCTTTTTATGCAGAGGATTGAACCCGGGATCTGGCACCGGCGAGGTAAGTGCTCCACCACTGAGGTGTGTCTCCAGTCAAGCAGCTAGGAAGCAGTCCATTTTGGTATGTGAACTCTAAGAAATCAAAATGTGCCCAGAAAATTTCTTTAAAAAAAATTAAGAATGTCATGATGGTTTCCTAGCCTTTCACACAGCCAGTCTCGGCCAGAGGGTTATTTCATTCGTGTAGCTCTCCCTGCGCTCGGCCTGGGCGTGGAAATGGTGGTGGGAGAATGCACTCTGCTCCAAGGATGGCTCAGTCAAGGCCTGAGGCTCCTCTTTATTTTTCTTTGTGCCAGTCCTGGGGCCTGAAGTTGGCCCGAGTGCTGAGATTGTTTTGGATCAAGACTAGTGCTCTACTACTTGAGCCACAGCTCCCCTTCTGGCTTTTGTTTTTGCTGGTTAGAGATAAGAGTCCTTAGATCTCAGCCACCTGAGGAGCTAGGATTGTAAGTGTGAGCATTGGTACCTGGTCTAAGGCTCTTCGAATTTTGGTCAGTCCTGGGGCTTGAACTCAGGGCCTGGGGACTGTCCCTGAGCTTCTTTTGCTCAAGGTTAGCACTCTACCACTTGAGCCATAGCACCACTTCTGACTTTTGCTGTGTATGTGGTACTGGGGAATTGAACCCAGGGCTTCAAGCACACGAGGCAAGCGCTCTACCACTGCGCCGCCTTCCCATCCCTACGGCTCTTCTTGTAACACAATGACGATGAATAATTTTTGAGTGGCTGTGTGAAAAGATTAAGACCCGAATCACAGAGTCTGGTGTCCTTCCCAGGCCCCTTGCAGCCAATGGTGTGCACACTGGTGTCGAGCAGACCTAGTCCACAGAAGAGCTGGCAGGTGGCTACGCTACTCAGGACTAATGAATGATTATGTATTCTTGAAGTTTTCCATCCCAGAGGCAGCTTAAGGAAGAAATAAGCAGTTATTATACTTCTTTCTGTGTGTACAATTCAAGAAAAGCAATTCGTTGGTAAATAGCCAATGTTTCCAGCAGAACCAGTGAATCTGATCTGCACTTAACTGCACTAGAAGGAAACAAGGGAGGTACCTGAATAATTCAGGAATTCTGCCAGGCTTGATTGTGGGCTCATTTAAATGAATCCAGCCAAGGCCCAGAAATATGATAGAGGCTCAGAATGAGAGAGAGAAAAAAATCAAACCCCCAAATCTAATCACATCAAACAAGATTGGACAGCAGGATTAATTTCACTGGGACAAACACCTTCTATTTAGTGGCATCACAAAGAGTGAATCATGTCTTTATTGTGAAGACAATGGCGAACTCTCGACAGGGAAGTCTTGGGCCAAAGGAGCCACAGCTGAAGTTGTGGTGGCCTCCTGCTGAGTCGCACGCAGTTTCTCAGAAGGAAAGTGAGGGAGGCGTCAGGAGGCAGGCCCGCTTCCTTCCACGCTGGGCACGCTCTGCCATGCTCCCACTACCATGAATGCACTGAGGGTCCGGAACCATCTACAGTCTGGTCCCTATACAAGCAAAGTAAGGGGCTGGGAATGTGGCTCGGTGGTAGAGTGCTTGCCCAGGATGCATGAAGCCCTGGGTTCGATTCCTCAGTACCACATACACAGAAAAAGCAGGAAGTAGTGCTGTGTCTCAAGTGGTAGAGTGCTAGCCTTGAGCAAAAGAAGCTCAGGGACAGTGCCCAGGCCCTGAGTTTAAGTGCTAGGACTGGAGGAAGAAAAAAAAAGCCAAGTAAGGGAGCCAGATACTTCCTTTTCTGAGACCCCAATGAACCCTCACTGCCCACTGCCCACACTGCCCGCACTGCAACGCATTCTCTGGCTCTCAGTAGAGGCATAGGAAACGGCCGTGAGGTTTGCTGGATCTGCAGGCTGACCAGTCACCAAGAGGGATGTTTGCTTCACATTGTGCTTTTATCTCAGGACACCAGATCTGTTTTTAATTGTTCAAGGAGAGTCAAAGGATGGGTTTGAATCCGTGCCCAGCACACCTAGAATACTATTTAGCAGCTCATAAAAGGAAAAAAAAAAAAGCGTTGGACAAATGAGGGGACAAGTGCCATTGAAAACGAGAATGGGCTCAGGGTCCGGTTACAAGGATAAAAAGAACTTGGACTAAGTCATACTTTTAATAACAATCATTATCTTTAGTTATTAAAAACAGAACCGCACCCTCACCTATTCAAGTATCCAGCATTATCTCCTTTTTGCAATGGGCCAAAGTCTGTGTTGCTCACGATTGAAACCAGAGCCTAGGGTTTGGGACACAAAGGCTGGGTGGGACGGGCTTAAGCAGCTCAGGGGGGAAACAGGCCCTCATAGGAACCAGCTGTGCAAGCGGAGCAGGTGTCTGCGCCGTTTTCAATAGAAACGGGCTCATCCCCCCCGCGATGATGCCACAGCACAGGTGTTAGGGCGGCCGTGAGGAGAGACTGGTGAGGAGGTGGGCCTGCAGTCCCAGGCATGGGGCCCCAACCGGGCCAGCACCTCCCCCACCCCCCGCCACTGGCTTCTGTGGCCTTGTGAAACGACAGCGCTGCGCCTACCGCGCAGGCGCGGCGTGGCGTGCGTGGCCCATGGGAGGTAGGCACTAGAGCTGCCCGCCCCATCTTTAGAGCAAACCCGGAGCAAGACACAAGGAACACAGAAATGTGAAGTAATAAAGAAGTGCAGACATCCGCAGAGCTTGGCTGTGGGCCTCGGCAGGGCTGGTATGGTAACTGCCACAATGAAGGTAGCAACTGGCACACGCGATCGCCTTGGAGAGCATGTGCCAACTGGCCACGAGGCTGGAAAAATACTATTCCAGGGATAAGACCACTGTACACGCGTGTTCTTGGAGATGAATGACAGAAATGTCCCATGCAGGATTCATGGGGTCAATTTTTCCATTTAGAAGAAATGATACTGTTATTCTCCCAAGGCTGGGAAACCCAAGCCATGCACCTGCAGTCAGAATAAAAGACCAAAAATAAAGCTCTTACCAAGCCTGAGTTTGATGGGTCTTTCTTAAACTTGTCATCAGGGACAGTGCCCAGGCCTAGAGTTCAAGCCCCAGAAATGGCATTAGAAAAAAAAGAAGCCAGGCGCTGGTGGCTCACGCCTGTCATCCTAGCTACTCAGGAGGCTGAGATCTGAGGATCACTGTTCAAAGCCAGCCCAGGCAGGAAAGTCCATGAGATGCTTATTTCCAATAAACCACCAGAGAACTGGAAGTGGCGCTGTGGCTCAAGTGGTAGAGCACTTGCCTTGAGCTGAAGAACTGAGGGACAGTGCCCAGGCCCAGAGTTCAAGCCCTACAACTGACAAAAAAAGACTAATAAAAACAAAAAGAGTCCACAAGCTGACCACATGGCAGTTTTGAAGACTGGCTGAGGTCCTGCTCGGAGGGTGGGGGACAGGTCTCTAGGTCTAGCGGGATCATTTGAAGGTCAGATGCAGTGTGGAGTGGGCTACGCCGGCCAAGCCAGCAAGCAGCTGAGGTTAGGGGCTAAGGAATGGGTGTGGCCTGGAAGGAGGCGCTGGGGGCTCTGAGAGCTCGGTGAGGATGGATTTGGTATATGGGGTAGGCACGGCAGGCCCTTTCAAACTTGGACTCGGGGTTTTCTGGGACGGAGGTCCGTGGTGGTCACATCTTAGGTGACGGGCAGTTCAGGGCAGAGCCACCAGACCAGGGGTGGCTGCCACAATGAGGGGTACACAGGAATGAGGCCAGCAGCGCCCGGCTCGGGATGGTGGAGAAGCTTTGAGTCAAGCCTGTCGGCTGCCTTGTTCCCTCTTGCACCCCAAATCAGAGGACCTGCCCGTGTCGATGTGTGTTCTCAGGGTTGAATTGTACACCCCCAAAGATATAGTGGGGCCCTAAGGCTGGGTACTGGCGGCAGTTACTTATATTAGCACACAGGGTCTTTTTGCAGATGAGGTCGCCGGGGAGGACCTGAATGCCAATATTCACTGGCATTCTTAGAAAAAAAGAAGGCCTCACGAACACGGAGACACACAGGGCGGACGCCAGGCAACCGTGGAGGCAGAGACTGCAGAGAGACGCTGCACAGTGGACACGTCCCTGCCACCCTCGGAGGGAGCCTGGCCCCTGCTCAGCGGACAGCGCGGAACGCCCAGCTTCCAGAACAGCACGTGCACACTCTCTGTGTTCTAAGCCACCGGGGTTAGGACGCTGGTTATGGCAATGTTAGGAAACGTACTAAGATTTCTCTCATGCCATTCTTAACTCTGCAAGGAAGGATGTGTACTGGCAACGTTGGAAGCTACTCTCTTTAAATGCTAGCAGATTCTGGTTTAAATTCTGGGACAACAATAATAATAATGACTATTTTTATTTATTTATTTTTTTGGGGTAATGACTATTTTTAAAGTTCTGAAAAGTATTTTATATAATCAGAAGCCTATAGGCCCTGTGCCTTTGGTCTGCTTCCCCAAGAATAGCCTCCTTCAGTCTCAAGAGTCCTGTATAATTGATCAGTCCTGGTGTATTGTAGGTCTAGCTTCCACATACGAGAGAAAACATGTGCCACTTGTCTCTCTGAGCCTGCCTGACCTCATTTAACATGGTTTGTTCTGGGTCTACCCATTTCCCTGCAAATGATATTAATTTTTCTTTTTTTTTTTTGGGTCGTGGGGCCTGAACTCTGGGCCTGAGCGCTGTCCCTCAGCTCTAGGCTAGTGCTCTACCACTTGAGCCACAGCGCCACTTCCGGCTTTTTTCTTTTTTCTTATGTGGTACTGGGGAATCGAACCCAGGGCCTCATGCATGCAAGGCAAGCGCTCTACCACTAAGCCACCTTCCCAGCCTTGATATTATTTTTTCTAATGGCGGATAGGTACGTATTACATTTTTTTGGACCCCTCATTTACTGTAGGGCATCTGGGCTGTTTACATAACTTGGCTATTGTGAGCAGGGCAGCAATGAACATGGATGTTCAAGTGTCTTTATAGTACCCTGACTTGTGATGTTTTGGGTAAATGCCCAGGAGTGGTGTGGCTATAGGAAGATCTACGTTTAGTTTTTTAAGCACTTCCAGACTGCTGTCCAGCGTGGTTGTACTACTTGACACTCCCACCAACAGTGCAACAAGCACAATGCTTTGTTAAAGTGGTCAGAGATACTTTGTAGGGATGAGGAAACTTGTCTTCTGTCATGGGCCATTTGTACATTTAGAACACAACTCATGGGCCATACAAAGCCATCGATACAGGTGGGCATCTGTGGGCAGCCAATGAGACGCATCCATGAATGAGACGCGTCGTGCCCGTCTTGTCCTATACCAAACCATCTCTTGGGTTTTATAGAGCCACGCATGAGTGGGAGGCCCCCATCCCAATAAACCCCTCTTCACAGATGACATGAGGGGTTTTTTCCTGGACTCAATGCCATACACATATGAGCTGGAAAAGAAAGAAGAGAGAGAAAATGAAATGGGCTTACCTGGGTGGGGTCCTGTGCGTCTGTTGTTCCGTCAGAACAAGCCTTGAACTTGCTCTGTTTCTGTGTCAAGATCTATGTCATAAAAGCAGGGCCGAGTGGGCAGTCCGGGCATCGTGCTCATCTGCAGAAGAGGAAGCATGGCAAAGGTCACCGCCTGGCCCCGGAGAGCTTCCGGTTCCTCTGATGAGCCAAGTGGAACTGTGATCACCTCCAGAGCCCAGGGGACTGAGGGGAACGGCTAGAAAGAAAGCGAGGCCCGCGCGCCATTTCCCGCCATCTCCCCTCTTACACCCCCCCCCCCCCCGGGAGCTACTGCACAGCGACTGTCCAAACCTTTCCCTCTAAGTCTTCCTGTGGCCCCCCAAGCCCAGGCCCACTGTCTGTAGGAGGGGTGGGGGGGGGGCAAGGGGATGATGGCTTCCTCCTCACCAGGGCAGTTCCCATTTTTGTAAACCCAGAGCACAGGGGAGGATGGAGGCCCCTGCCACGCTGAACAGTAAGTCCAGCACAATAAATATTAGTTATGTTCCAACAAACCCGGGAAAAGCCAAGTCATCCATCTCTGAGGGACAGGGTGGCCTTGTGAGGGCCGCGTCACGGGGGGGGGGGAATGGGGGGGAATGGGGGGGCTGGTACCGTGAGCTCCTGGCTGACTTCACACCACCCCCGCCTCGCACAGCTCTGTGGGTTTACACCATGACCGCAGCACCCTCGGAGCTGGGCGCCAACTTCCTCGCCTCACAGAGGAGGGCACAGGCTAGTCTGCGCTAGTGCTGGAGGCTTGAATTCAGGGCCTCTCAAGTGCCCAGCCTTGACACACAAGGCTGGCGCCCCCTCACTTCAGCCACATCGACACTTGTGGAGTGTTGCTGACTAACTGGCGCTGTCTCTTGTGTTTGTCTGCTCAGGCTGCTCTGGAACTGTGATTCGCAGATCTCAGCCTCCTGAGTAGGCAGGATTACAGGAGTGAGCTAGCCACCTGTGCCCAGCCTTTTCTCTTGTTCTGTGGTGGCTTCGCGGAGCCGAGGGGGCACCTGAATGACCACCATGCTGACTGTTTCCCAGCAGGAGCAGCAGACACCAGCGTCACTGGTGGGAACCGCTCACAGTTAGTTTTCTGGTTGCCTGGGTTACCAGCTGTTCTCCATGGCAGTCTTTCTGCCCCAGCGCTCAGCAAGGCGCTGGGTGGCTCTTGGAGAAGGTATGAAGCCTCTATAATCTGTGAGGGGCTAGGGATTAGCATAAACTAATAACATTGTATAGCTGAAGAGAAAGGAATGATCATATTTGGCCACAGTGATACTGCACCATCCCTTAACTCTTGGAATAAAAGCTACCAATTACTAGGAAGACCTCACAGACACTCCAGGGCAGCTGCTGTTCCTAAGACTGCAACATTATCCACTCCAGGGCAGAATGCAGTGTCAGAATTGAGTATCTAAAAGTTTAGATTCACTTGAGATGACAAAACCCAAGAAGCGCCCTGAACCCAGTATATCTGACATCTGACCAACTATTTTTGCCGTGTGTTTATTGATACATTATTGCTAGATCTGAAAATTCCACTCTCCGGGTGGAAAGGCCAGGACAGAGGAAGTCAGGCTATGATCTGTGCTTCCAGGCAGCTCAACTGCTGCCATCAATCAGAACATGGCTTTTGGTCATTTTTGCACAAAAGTAGGGGGTAAAACTAGTCAAAATATTAGACTACTTTAAACTTAAAAAATTACTTTTGCTTATTATTTTGTTTTGTTGCATTGCTGGGGATCGAACCCAGGACCTTCTGCATGCTAGGTGAGCGATCTACCACTGCACTACCTCTCTAGGCCTCCACTTCTTTCTTCTAAGTGGGAGAAATTTGTGGTGAATCCGAAGATGCTCACCTTTCTTCTCAGTGATGTAGACATCACTTCTGAGAATTGGGGCTGCTTATCTGGAAGGAGCAAGAGCAGACTAGAAAGCAGAGCCTCGGCAGAGGCCCCGACCTGTGAGCAATGAACAGCCATCTCCAATGACTCTACTTTCAGAATGGAACTCTTCCTGCTGAGAATCACAATGTGGACTGATGTGCACGGAACCTTGTATTTTCCCATCAAATTTGCCACCAATGGAACACCAGGGGAACTGTCAGAGCAAGGAAGCCCCTGATAAGGTCCATGTAGCACTACGGGGAGCCAGCGAGCTGCCCCCCCCGGGGGGTGGGGTAGGCGCTCTGAGTTGATCTTGTTTTTTTTTTTTTTTTTTGCCAGTCCTGGGCTTCAACTTGGCACTGTCCCTGAGCTTTTTTTGTTCAAGGCTAGCACTCTACCACTGGACCCACAGCACCACTTCTGTTTTTTGCTGTGACTGTGGTACTGGGGAACTGAACCCAGGGCTTCATGCATACTAGGTAAGCACTCTATCACTGAGCCACATTCCCAGCCCTCTGACTTGATCTTATCTGGGTGTCCACTGAAAATAACCAAGGAACTGCTAAATTATACTTACTTCACAGGCATTAATAGATTCTTTTATAAAGATCCCGGAACCTAGGCTTTAGAACCCTGTAAGTGCAGTGCATCTCCCAAATCCTTACTGGCTGTGGGTTAAACTGATTTTGGAGAAATCATGGGTTCTGGTAATAGCCGTTACAAACACACATTACAGACTGGGAAATAAATACCCAAAAACTAGTACAACTAGTAAAAGAGAGAGCAGCTGGACAGCTTGAATGTAAAGCTACACTCAAAATCTAAGCTTGCAAATACATAAGCAAGGCATCTCTGATTGGGACAGAAATGGTATAAGAGAAACGCGTAGAAGCACAGCCAGCCTTCCGCAGTCTCAAACTGTAGACATGCTCCAACCTATGCAGTGGTATCTACCGTGGCTTGCATCTGTTTTCCCTTAGCTACTAATGATGATAAAACTATGGGCTTATTAACTTTTCTTTTTTTTTTTTTTTGCTGGTCCCGGGGCTTGAACTTAATGGTCTGGCCTCTGTTCCTGAGCCTCTTTGTGTTCAAGACTAGCACTGTACCACTTGAGCCACAGCACCACGCTTCCAGCCTTTTCTATTTATTTGTTATTGGGGAATTGGGCCTAGGGCTTCATGCATGCTAGGCAAGCACTCTTACCACTAAGCTACATTCCCAGCCCACCTTATATTTTCTTAAGTGAAGTGTGTTTAAATCTTTTGTGCTTTAGAAAAGAACAGTTAATTTCATATTGAGTTCTTTTATTCTTTCTTTGGTCAGTCTGAGACCAGTACTCAAACTCAGTACCTGACACTTCCGCTCATTGGCTCTAGTCTAACCACCTGAGCCATGCCTTCACTCTTTCATACTGAGTTCTCAGTCTGTTTTCTGTTGGTACACATCCTCAGGTGACTGGTAATTATCTTTGCTCACTCCAAGGCTCATTTAGTTTCAACATATTTGGAGTTTTCGCAGATGCCTTTCAGTGTTGATTTCTCCTTTAATCCCACTGTGGTCTGAGAACATATTTTGTGCAATTTGAATCCTTTAAAATTTATGGAGACTTATTCTGTGACCCAGAATAAGAGTCTGCCAAGTGTTCTGTGTACATTTGCAAAGAGTGTGTACTTTGCTGTTGTTGGGTGGAGTGCTCCATTCATGCCAATTAGGTCAAGCTGGTGTGTAGTATCAGCAAGTCCACATCCTTATTGACTTCAGTCCATCTGTTCTGAGAAGTTTAGCATTTTCTGACTGTATTTGTGGATTTGACTCTTTATCCTTGCTGGTTCTTTTGTTTCATGAATGTTGATGCGATACTATTTTATCTATAAGCATGGGATTTTTATGTCTATTGATGAAATGATCCCTTTAGCATGTTGAGTCAATCCTTTTTATTTTGCTGTTCCTATTCTTTGCTTTAGTTCTACTTTGCTATGAATATGCCGCCCCAGCTCTCACAGACTTTCTTGCCCTGGCTGGCTTCAAATCACGATCTTCTGAGTAGCAAGGATTACAGGCGTGAGCCACCGGCATCTGACTTACTGTGATTACTTACATAGTTGGCCTTGCTATGCAGCCCAAGGTCTCCTCAAACCCACTATGGAGCCAGACTGTCCCAATGTTCGCAATCCTCCTCCTCACCTCTCACGTGCTACGATTCCAGGCTGCTGCCACCATACATGGCAAGACTGAGCATTTTTAATGATTTCATTTGACCTTCGTGGTTGCTTTCTAATTACAATTATTTGTTACTGTATTTTAAGGGATTTCCTTAGTATTTAGAGTATACATCCTTAGGCTTTTCAATCTTCCTTTAAGGGATATTAATTCACAGATGGTAGAAGAAGCAAACAAAAGTGTATTTCCATTTTTCTCTTCCTGGACATTTTTAATTTTTTTTTTTTAAGTATTGGGGTTTGAACTCAGGCCTCACACTTCCTAAGCGGGCATTCTACTATTGAAGCTCTGCCCCATGTCATTTTTATCTTCATTATTTTTCAGGTTAGGGTCTTATTTTTCTGCCCAGGCCCACACAGCTGAGCTGTCAGGTGTGTTCCAACACACTAGGCTTTTTTGTTGAGATGGAGGTCTCATTAACTTTTTTGCCCAGGCTGGACTCCAATAGTGGTTCTCTCAATTTCTGATTTCTGAGCAGCCGGGATTATACACGTAAGCCACTGTGCCTGGCCTTTTTTTAGTTCCTTCCTTCCTCTCACATGGGTCTCTAATTACATGTATTTTTGTCCCAAAGCTCTTCTGCCTGATGTATTCTTCGCTCATTTTGGTCTTTAAGTATTCTTTTCTCCTGCACTGTTTATTTGCCAATAATTAGGAGGATCTTTTTCATTCCAGGCACTGTACCCTACAGTCACAATACTTGTTCTCCATGTCCTTGTCCACTAATTCTATCTTCTGTGTAATTAATGGGTTCGTTTTGATTAACATCATTATAGGTAGCATTTTTTAACCTTTTTGTATCTGATAATTTTGTAGGGAGGTTAAGCATTTTATCTTCTTGCTGGTATATTTTTTCGTCTTTTTGTAAATATTCTTATGCTTTTGTAGTCTTTTTTGGTATTCTTTTTGCAAATATTTTCAGCACTGCAAAGCTATACATGAGCTCCCCCCTCAAAAAAGCCCTAAATAAGCAAGCAAGCAAACAAAA